CAGCACCACTGAACCCCGGCCCATCTATCCCTGTGTGACTTCACACTCAGCCTTATCATTTAATTACCATTTTTCAACAGAGTTCTGAGAGGACCTGACTAGACACAGGCTAAGGAGATAAGCTAATGCTCCAGGGAGGAGTTCTCCTGAAATTCCTACATTTTCTAGTGACCCACAATACACATCCCAAAGCCAGTTCGGGTGTTGCCAAGTCAGCACGGAGGCAGCGAGTGCTGTTTGAACACGCTGTGAGGACGGAGCGGTAATTGCAGCATGTCAACATTACCTGCTGCACCATTTCCACTCAGAGTTAGTTTAGCAATCACCCTATTGAAGAGGCAGTCGTGGCACTGAGCCAGAGTGACCTTCATCTCACACAGCATCTGGTGGTAATTGCACTAATGAGCAGAGTAAGCACCAGCCCTGAACTAGATTTCATGCAGGTAAGAGCTTGGTGAGAGCAGGGAGCTCTGTGCTGGCTGTGAAACAGGCAGGGGGAGAAGGGCAATTATCCACAACAGAGACTCCTGCCCCGAGAGCTTCTTTCTCACTTTTGGCAACAAACAAGCTTAGAATTAAACAAATGTTACTCTCCATTTTCTGCAAGAATGGGATTCTCGCAGCGCTTTCGTTCTGTTATTTTGCATTATGATTAGGTTGAAGTTAAGCAATTAGCAGTGGTATTGCTCTTGAAGTAACTACACCAGCGGGCACAGTGCTGGTTAATTCACCAGCTCCCTCTCCCTGGCAATTCCAGGGCCCATGGGTGCAGACAGATGCAGTACGTGGTACTAGCCATCATGTATATTGACTTAAGTGTGCCCACAGGCACAAACCAAAGTGCAATACAATAACTATTTGCTGCTCTAGGTTAACTGTGCTCAGGGGTGCAAGCAAACTCAGTGTAATGATCAGCTGTTCACCCTCCCAAAAGCACTTGGGATGAAAAACAGCAGCAGCGGGCAACTAAATATAAGCTCCTGATAAAAAAAAGCATCACACAACCGTGGGCACTGAAAAACATGAAGTGCCTGAGCCTGTTCCTAACCATGTAGAAAGCAGGAGAATTTAATGAATAATGGCCTGTCAGTGTAGTCAGAATCCAGCCTGATTTTCTGATTTTGTCAATAGTTAATAATTCCAACCTTTCTCCCTTACTCAGTGGAAGTATTTCCCCCCCCCAACATCAAGTTTCTCAGAATAAAGCAGGAATATAAGGAGGAAGAACAATTTCTCCAGAAATACCTGCCATAAATAGAGCTTTCCATTCACTAGCAAGTTATCAACATAAAAATTTACCAATACCAAGCAGTCTGTAAACAACCACCAGAGAAAAGCTTCACTTAAACAAAATAAGAAGCTTCCACCCACACAAAAGTACCTGGAAAGATCATTTAGTTCTCACACTCCTCCTAATCTCCTTAGTTAAAACAGCACCCAAGACTTCATTATAGCACCTAAAATATTTTAGGCAATTTTCCCATGATCCTATAAAGCCATGATTCCAGTTGTCTCATTTTCAACCCTGTTTGTTAAAGGAGCAGAGTTTCCACATTCCCTCTGCTTCGTATCCTTATTTACTCGACTCTTCTAAAACTGATTAGAACAGGTGATGTGTGTTTTAATCTCTCAGCAGACACGATGAAAATCAGATTTTTACAAGTTTGGCTCTTGTAAAGACCTGAAAGGACCCAGTGGTCACCAGTCTGGGTCCTGAGAGCCCTCCTAGTGTTAGGTGAGGCTGATTAAAGTGAAACACCCCCCTCCAGGGGTGGAGGTGTCCTGGCTGCTTCTTACTAAACCCAGCTCCAGCACACAAAGGATCAGCCTGCCAGAGAGCTCTGGGAGGAACTAAAAGTGTTCGGTAGTGACTGGAGACCCAAACGGTGCCAGTCGCCTCTCTGAGCTCCGAAGCCCCTGCTGGCACTGAGGTGCTCGTTCCTCCCTTTGTTTGGGAGCTGTGAGAGGGTTCAAAGCACAGCAGCGGGGGTTATCTGCCGGCTCCACCCTCTGCTTTGAGTGGTACCTGTGGGAACTGTCAAACGTTTGCATCTTGTACGCAGGGAATGCAAAATTCCCTTCGCTCTGTTTTGTTTGGCGGAGTCAGATCAACCCATCTGCAAGTCGGCTCCCTTGCCTTTCTGGAGCATCCAGCAGCAGAGCCTGGGAAGGGTTTCTGCCTGTGATTCTCAGAGGTATCTAGTCCATTCCCAGAGCTCAGTTCCTGGTGAAGATGTGCCAGGCATCTTCCAAAGGAATTTGATGCCTCTTCCAGTGCATTGGGATTCAGAGATTTTCTTTTTGTTTTTCTAGATGGGGTAGTAACTCCCAGTGTGGAAGAGCATGAGCTTCCATCAGCCCAGACTGGCATAAGCCAAAGCTTAAAATCCACAGACTGGGAACTGGTCTATAAAATTGCACCTGTTGATGTGTGACAAACCCTAAATATTGAATACAAACTTTGGAATTTATACGAGGGGATGGAAATAGGCTCCTTCAGAGGCAAAGCCACAGGTGGCTTGGGTAAAGTGTAGCAACTATTCCTGTAACACCTGGAAGAGTGTGAAGGACAACTTTGGCAGGATCTGTTCAAAAGCTGTTTAGCCTAGTTTTCCTTCTCTGTTTTTTTTGTTTTCTCTCAAGGACAGGGGAGACAGTCTGAGTAGTGTTTTGCTGGTTTTGAATGATGCCCACTGAAGCAGGAGCTCAAGTATAGGACAAAGACTGTTTTTAAAACAGTTAGGCTTTACTGCCTGGTGATATTTTTTCGAAGTACATTTACTGAAGATTTATGTAAAATCTATCTTTTGTCTACTTAAAATATGTCAAATGGATGTACAGGGCAAAATTTAATGCATATGGGTTTTCATTATTTTAAATCATTTGCAATATAAATGATTTACTATGACATCAGACCTTTGTTCTTTGGCTGTCCACCATAAATTGAGGCCCACCCAAATTTCCAGTCTTAGCTATATTTCTGCATTCCCTCCCCCAGTATCTATAATCTCAGCTCTGTGATTCTTCATGTAAATGACTTTCAACAGGGAAAGGAAGGGAACACATAATTTGCCTTAATACAGGTAATTTTGAAAGAGGAGCAAGACCTTTACATGAGGAATAGTTGACAGCTGTGGAAAGGGGAGAACTAATGCTCGTAGAACTGAAAGTCATCCTTGATGAGAGTGGTGAGAGCTACTGATCACCCAAATGTGACCAAATGGACTTTTTGTGCACTTGAAACTGCCAGAGGTGATCGACTTCTATCTTTCTCTTTCTGAATTTTTTCATGTCTTTTTAGTGCCCTTACATTTATAATGCAATTAATTAATCAAACTCTGGCCAGTTAATGTTGCAGGCAACCACTTGGAAAACTGAGGTATTGGGGTAAGCCAGGCTCCCCAAGGTCATTCTGAAAGTCCACAGTGAAGAACTGGTGGCACCTGACACCCAGAGCTGTGTTTTCATGACAGACGTGCTCCTAACAGCCATAAAAATCTTGAAACACCAGGACTTTTTGGAAGACCTTGTGGAAACTGCCTTCATTATTGTGTTTGCCAGTTGTCCTGTGACAGTTAATGGATACAGACCTTTGGACCCATCACAGCCTATATTTGAAGCCTTCCCAGCCCTGTAGTTAGTGAAAATTGTTGCCACTGAACAGCTCTTCTGAGGCTACACTACAAGAATTAAACCCCTGACCTCAGTGCAGTTTCTCATTCACTGATGTCATCTCAAAACCTGCAAGATTGAGACTCTGCCAAGCCTCTGATTTCTACTCATGACACTGACAGTTCAGCCTGAACCAAACATCACATTTTTGCAAACCCACCACACCACATATCTCAGCCTTGACACAACCCCCTTCCTGCTCTGTTTTCACGGTTTCATGCATTATTGCTCATGCATGTGGTTTTAAGAATACATCCCAAATCTGACCTGCCTGAAGAATTGCAGCAATTCTGAGCAATATCATAAATTACAGCAACATCCTAAGGGGAATCTTCCTGCTGACATCTGGGCTATCTCTGCAATCCTATAGCTACAAGTGTGTCTGACAAGGCCCATTTCTCTCTCTTTGCTGCCTTTCCCACAGTGCTCGTGCTAAACCAAACACCAGCACTGCCAGCAATTTAACCCTGGAGTCAGAGCAGGGGCAGATGATGTGGTGGGCCTGCATGTCCTTGCCTTCATTCAAGCTTCCAGGGGCTCTGCCACGATGAGATCCAGTGAGAAAATCTCAGTGTGGTTCTGATTTATGTGCAAGAGTGCAGAGGAGAGCAAAAGCTTTTAGTATCTTGGGAAGTAGTTAGGGATTAAGGCCAAGGAAAGGACAGTCATGTCAATTACATCCTAAAAAAAGAAGACTCAAGTGGAAGTCCTGGCTCCTGAACTGTTTCTGGGCTGGCAAATGTTCACAGTCCCCTTGGCAGATCCTGCAGGGAGTTAATGGGCCCACTCAGATCCCCTCCCGCACACCACGGCGTCAGCTTGACCCTTTTGAGGGAGGCCTGGCTGTGATAATTCAGCATTTTTTCCTGAAATGAAATTAGGGAATGCATTTTAATATTTTAAGATCTCTGATGCTTTCTTGTCAGGAATCTCCAGTGAACCCAGCACTTCATTCCAGATGTGGCTGAGGGAAGAAAACCTCATGCAAAGTGCAAGGCTGACACCTGGAGGGACTGTGAGAGGCAGCCCGGGAGCCTGGAGCAGCCAGACATCCTGCAACACACATGGCTGGGTGAGGAAAGCTCAGAGGGGTGGCAAGATCCCAGGATTTGGAACTTCTCTTTTCTACTGAAGGGGTGCTTTCAATATTCTCCCTCTCCCCTTTTGCTATTTCAGATCTTCCATGTCTGTTTTTAGGAGAAGAAACATAGAAGCTCTGACTGTGTCACCTAATTATTCACTTCCATGCTCAGGAATGTCTGGATCAAAACTTACCTTGCTCAATAAGCTGCTACAAATAACACACAGTTATATTTTCAACTGGTTGCTCTAATTTATTTGAATTGCTGGGTATCAGGCTTCCTGCTGCTTTACCATTTGTGTAACTCTGTGTTGAGTTTCTGGAGCACAGACTTGCAGGGCAATTCCTGCTGTCAAAGCTGCAGCTGGAAGATTTGGCATTAGGTAGAGCTTGTTCTTTTCATGTCTGGTTCTGCCAGCACCCACGGTGAGTTTTTTCTTGAAGCTGATCCTAATCAAGGAATGCAAGGCAGCTTCTGGGACAAAGTCTTCATGCTTTTGGAAGTTTGCTTTCCAGCCTGGCAATCACCCATTCACAGCACTTACTCAAACCTTTTCAGTAATCTCTCTTCTCTGCCAGGAATTGTCTCAGTATTAGTGAATGCTTGTTTTGCTTGATCTAATTTTAGCATATGTTAATAACTGAGTTATTTACTGTGCTGACATTACCATACAGTTAGTGTCTCACAGACCCAAAGATTATATGTCCATTACATCTCTTTAATTCTCTTTGTCATTGCCAGTGTGGTTCCAATCATCATAAAATTTGCTTAGCAGTGAGTAGTTGTTTATGGAAATGGGAAAAATAAACCAAAAAACCCCACAACCAACAGTTCTTTTGGAACTGTTTTCTGCAGTTTTACTAACCCACCTGCAGTGCAGCTCCCTGAGCCCCCACGTGCCCTCACTGATGTACCTCAGTACTGACTGCACTGCTTTCCCCTCTAACCCTCAGACTCCCAAAGGATCGTGGACATTCAGTTCATCCTGATGAGTATATAAACCACTCCATACATTCCCCACCCACACCAGTTAAAAGATGAGCCATGAAAACACTGGGGAGTGGAAAAGAGGCACTTGGAGAGCTTCAGGAGCAGCACAAGATTTGGGGTGTGCTGGGGGTGCTGCTTTTCAGCCCAGACACCTGGAAGTCTAATTCCACCTCTGTGGTTACTGTTTCTTCAGTGTTTCTCATTAACTGCCATGACTAAGAGGCAGTAACACCTTTCTCCCCCCACCCCCAAGAATATTGCCCATGCTGGGTTGTCAGTTATGCTGAATTACACTGGATCCCTGCTTACTCAGTGATGTAGGCAAATAACAATTCAAGATCAAGGGTGAACCCTGGCCACTAAACTTGTTTCACTTGTGACTCATTCCAGTCTTAAAAACCTGGCTCTTGCTGACATTTTATTAACCCAATTTGTCATCCTCCTAACCCCCATTATCCAACCCAGGCAGATTATTTACTTTGAAAAGATGTGCAGATAGCTTCCATGCGAATCCTAAGTAGATCCAGGTGCCACAGCTAGATTCCAGAGGGTATTACAGTCATGAGAGACATGTGCTGGTAAAATAACTTCTAGATGCTTCCAAACTCAATGACATTCTCCCTCTTTAGATTTTGTCTGGACTCTCCTTCCTGCAAAGCAGCCTGGCACCAGCATGGTGAAGTGCCCAAGTCCATACCTTCAGGGCTGTGTGTGTTCCCAAAGAGATCAGCAAAGGTAAAATTAGACATATACTAAGGTTAAGCACATACTAAAATATACTCCTGCTTTGGAGTTGGAATCTCTGGCTACCCCCTCCTAAGCAAGTCCCTTTGAATCTTTGCATTTATCCCAAAATAAAGCATTCGAGTCAAGAATTAGCTTGCTGCCTTCCAGAGAATTCATCATTTCCAGTTTGCAAGCTTGAAGAGAGAAATCCAGGAAGCATCAATAAATCTACTTTGGCAGTGGAGTAAAGAGCTGCAAAAGGAGTAACCTGTCAAGGTAATGTGACTTAATTTCTCAGAGAAAGATCCATTTTTATAAATGAAATAAAAATGCCAGCAAAGTCAAATAGCAGGAAGTGTCACACTTGATTGTCTCTCAGTAGGACAGAAATTAAATAAAAAGAAGGCAAGGTAAATGACAGGGTTTTACATTTAGCAAGGGAAGTAATAACATAGAATAATAACATCCACTGAGAATCTATGCACAGCAACCCGGGTATGACAGAGGTGTGTGTTCCCACAGAAACATTTATTTAATGTGCACATTTTCCCTTGGACAAAAGGCAGGTTGAGCGCCGGGAGCTGAGGGTTGGTGGAGATGCTGGGATCGGACATGCGGGGGCAGCCTTACCTGCGGATTGTCACGGCTCTAAAACACCGCGGCAGGGGCTCTGCAGGCAGCTCGCTTTGGCCTCCCAACTTCCCATGCCAAGCTCTGGAGCTTTGCCCCTTTCCGAACAAGGGACCCATCCAGGCTTCCCAGGTTTCCTCACTCAAAGGGCGAGCGCTGTCCCTTTAAATAAGCGCCGAGATCTCAGCCCAAGCGGGGACTGGAGCCCAGGCTACCCACGGTTATGAAACCTCCCATTCAGAGCTCGGGGGCTGCTGCTGCACTCCGAGGTTAATAATCAGTTTTAATATTCACTTAGGGGGCTGTAAAAAAAGAATGAAAATTTCCTAATTTGAAAATGGACTTGATTGGCAGCTTTATTATCTCTGTAAGGTGCGTGGCATTCCACACAATCAAGTCGTTTTTTTAAATAATCTCACTGCTTAAGTCGTACACGCTGCTAATTGCATTTTAATAAGTCTCTTTAAAATCTTTCCATATTTTTTAATATCCTAATATTAGATAAGTGATTGCTGGGGACACTGGAGGGCACTGAAGTTTATAGAAAGAGGAACACCATAATGAAGCTTTATTGGGATGGCATCACCAAACAATTGCTGTGATAGCAACACTCCCAAGCTTGGAAAAGTGCCAGGCATTCCCCCCCTGGAACTGACTCAGGCAGTAGCCTCTCTGGCTCAGGACTGACGCAGAAAATGGATGCTTTCTGGCTCATAAAATGGCCTCTTTCCGGCTTGGAAGTGACTGAGGAACTGTCCACTTTGGATTTGGAAAGGACTTGGGAACTGGTTTTTCTCCATTGAACAATGACTTTGAAACACACTTTTGTTTTGCTTGGTTCTGGCTTGAAACTATAAAAGTTGTTGGGTTTTTTTGCTTTTTGTTGTTTTTTTTGTTTTTAAATCGGGTCAGGGTTAGACAGAAAGAAGGCAGATTGTTTTACCAGCTCTATACAGTAGCAGATGATGTGAAAGGCTTCAATGGAATTAGAAAATCAAGGCTGCAACTAGAATAGGTGAACTTTCCATCTTAAAGATCAAACCCAGTTAAGATGAGAGAATATTTGGGAGAAAATGTACTTTGGTGTGGGGTTATGGAGTGTCTGTGTCTCACACAGGGGACAGAGTATTATCCAAGAATACCAGTACAGACTCAATCACTCTAAAGTTAAAAAAACCCAAACAAATAAAATAAACCACCAAAGAAATCAGACAATAATGGGGCTGAACTGACAAGCTCCAGTTTCAAGCACCCAGAACTACAGAATATTTCCAGCTCAGATCCAACCAGGATCCTGTGTGTGCATCCACAGGGTGAGCTGTCCCAGCAGTTACAACCCAGTGGTGCAGGAAGGTGCCCCACGACGTTCCATGAGCAGAATCCAATGTTTTCTATTGGAAGTCTGTCTTTAGATAAAGTGCTGTCTTCTCTATGTATTTGTTTTCTCTGTGTATTTCAGTTGTGTTTCTCCAAATTATCTGTTGGGCAACTAACGCCACTTTCAATGTAATTTAACATCATCATCCATGAGTGGGAAATATAATCCCAAATTAGTGTGTAACTGGCTTCTAGGGAACTTGACTGGGATAAAAGGACTTTTTTTTTGCCCAAACTGCATGCAAGTGCCAAATTTTACATTATATTGCATTTTGTCCTCTGCAATTCGTGCACTGGGACCTGAGATCAGAAGGTTATTTTGAGAACAGTAATGACTTTAATGTATTGCCTGCTTTTATATGGTTTTTTTCCCCAAGTCTTGTCTTCTGAAATCATACTATAATAAATCACAGTGTCAGTTTTGCTTTAAAAAAAAATCAAGCTTCTGCCAGTTCAGTATTTAGTAAAGAAAAACAGAAAAAAAAATGATATCTTCTTAAAGACTCAAAACTTAGGAAAGAAATACAGAGAACCTATAATTGATTTTTTTCCCTTTTAAGTCTGATAATATTTAAGTAAAGTTGTTTTTGGAACCTAACTGTAACTTTTAATACTTGAAATGGACAATACTGATATAAACATCTTGCATTAGTTTGTTTGAAAGTGAGCCATTTTCTGACTAACTAAGATCTGTTTGTCTATCCATGTGTTTCTTCTGTACATCATCAGAGAATCCTTGGACTCAGTCCATCGTATCTGTAGGTCTGACCTTATTCCCACTGAAACCCAAAGGAGTTCTGTCACTAACTCCCAGTTAAAAATGGATCAAGACCAATTTTGCCATATAGTATGAATAAGAATAATTTGTTAATACTAAATTTCTAATTACTAGTTGTGCATCTTTCTGGTTTTAAGGTGTATGAGGTGGCACTGTAAAGAAACCAATGTCTCTGGCATGAGCCATGAAGTAGAAAAGAGTTGTCAGTTTACAAAATTTCCTGTCTTCCTCTCTTCTTCTCTTTTTTTTTTTTTTTCCCCTTCTGGAAATCAGAGCAGAAGGTCTTGTTTCGCACTGACAGGCTGGGAGGCACATGTTCAGCGAACTTCTGCACAGGAAGTAAATGTCCAGGTCATATTTATCCCTTTTCATGTGGTTCTTTTAATCCCCCAGATTGGGTTTCAGAAGAGTTTTACAGTTTCAGTTTTACAAAGCGAACCTTCCTTTAATGTTGGCATTTTAAAGAAAAAGCTTCAGTCAAAACATGTGTGTTTTACATCAGCCAGATGTGACGTTTGGGGGAACAGGCCACAATGTGGCAGCCAGCTCCTCTGTGAGAGCTGACGGGGTCGGTGTTGGACATCAAATGGGAACTACTGGTCCCCGGCTGGGGGATCAGCCTCCTGGCTCTGTCACCCAGTGCAAAAAGTTATAAAAATAATAATAATTTTACAAAAAGTCCCCAAGAAAGTTGAAGATCAGAGCATGGCCAGCATTGCTATGACTTGTGTCCCAGTAACCCACACAGCCACATTACAGAGCACAGCCCTCCTGTGCACAGCCCTGTACACCCAAAAATTTATTCTTGCCTAAAAATGGTTGAATTAAAACAAAGCAAGAGGTGTTAAGGGCAGCAGATGCACATTAATGTGTCCAACAGTGCACCAGCAGCCAGTGGCTACTCCAAAAATAAAACCTGATTCTGCACAACTTCCGTGGAACATTCCTGTCCCTGTAATCTTCTCTTTCAAGGGTCTAACTTTTGCCATTTTAATTTAAAAACAAACAAACAGTGAAACAGAATCAGAAATCTCTTAGCTTTCTCCAGGATTTACCTCACAGCCATGCCAGGTGAGGCAGGTCTCGTTTTCAGCTGGTCCCTCTAAATTGAGGTCAGCTATGACAGGGCGGGGACTTTATTTCTGCCCCTAAAAGCCCTTCCTGGTAGTGTTTTGGGGGTATGGATGGAGTTTGCACTGGAGAGAAGGTTTCCAGCAGTCAGTGCTGTGGTAGTTGGGTCAGGGCTGCCTCAGGGCCTGTGTCTGGGGGAGGCTGAGGCCGGTTGAGGGGCCGCTGAGGCAGCTGCTGTTTCCCGCCATTTCCAGCCATTTTTGCCAGTCCAAGCAGCCACCGGTGCCTCAGCAGGAGCAGGTGTCGGTCTCCTGCCATGGCTGCCTTTCCTCCTGCTCTGTGCAGCAGCATCTGGCTGTGTCATCTACGCAGAGCTGTGCTGGTGCCTCAGTACTGGGCACCGGGGCCACCATTTTGTGACTGTTGGAGCACCCTGAGCGGCCCCTCAGGGGTTGTTGCTGCTCTGGGCTGGGGCAGTTGAGGATGAGCTGAGGCGGTTGAGGAAAACCTGAAGGTGACCTGGGGCAGTTGAAGGTGACCTGAGGCGGCTGAGGAAGAACTGAGGAAGAGCTGGGGTGGCTGAGGAGGAGCTGAGGCACCTGAGGAAAGGCTCAGGCAGCAAAGGAAGAGCTGAGGCAGAACTGAGGAATCTGAGGCCTGAAAATTCATCTTATCAGCGTGTGTGGCCTCCAGCCCCTTCAGACAGCAGGTGCCTCACCCCCTGCCACCACCTCCCAGGTATCTGCCATTCCCTGGCGGAGACCCCTGAGGGAACACCTTCAGGAGGCAGCCCATGGGAAGCTCACCACAGTGTCACTTTGGGACAACCTGAGGAGAAACTTCTTCCAGAGACACCATTGCTGGTGTCACGCTGCACTGGTGACATCTGGGAGAGATTTGGCTGCCACCAAGGACTGTGTGGCACTGGCAGCCATTCCAGGAGTCCTGGGAAAGCAGCTCTGCGTCTCTGCTCCTGCACCAGCAATGGGTGAGTATTTGCTCTATTTCCAAAAAATGCATCCCTACTTAAGCACCTTTTCTTGGTCAGTAAGCTGCAGGCCTGGCTTTTGAATCCTCTGGAATAACAGCTATGGTCTCTTGAGTTGACACCATTAATTTTTTCCCTTTAAGTTTTGTGTCAATCCAAGGTCACTGGCCTCCAGGCCTGGGCTCTGCATTGATCTCCTTGAGGGATATAAATAGGTTTTTCACAGAGTTGCCTGCTTTCCTGACTGTAGCTAGGTATAGATTTTGTCTTTACTGTGGCTAAATGGTATGGTCAGATGGCTTGCAGTAAATTTGGCAGGGGGTTAATTTAGTGTCCTGGAGTCTATGTGACTGGATGGAGTGGGGCTGGAGTGAATTTGAAATAAGTATACTTTATAAGCTATCCTGCACAATATATCACTTCATAATATCCCTGAGAAGAGCCTATAAGACTGGCTTATTCGCTCATGAGGAGCTGGGTTGAGCAGGACCATATCTGGGCATTGGGATTATCTGGATGGTGTACTTGGCTGGAGCAACTATCTGCCTCTCCTGGGAGCAGCAGAAATGCCATAAAACCAAGGAAAGCTGTGTAAATTATGTGTTTTAACTGGATTAATCCAAGGTTTTTGGACTGACTGTGCCAAGGCTGAGGTGTCTTTTAGAGGACTTAGCAGGTATTTTATTTGGTGGAACCAGAGTTGGTTAGATTTGTGTAAGCATGCTACAAGTTCTTACTCAACTCATGTGCCCCCACTTCTCTTTGGCTGGTAAATGTCTTGATAGATAGCCCAAAGAAATCAACATAAACATACGTAGTTGTGTTTTTTCTTTTGAAGTGCGTGAGTATCGAGAGCTTGATTGTTATTTGTCCTTGGGTGTTCCTCTTATCTCCACTCCAGATTTTTACATCTTGTTAATTGACATTGTTGCTATCAGGCTCTGCCTAGCATTTTTTAAGGCACCCTGGCAGAAGTTAAACTTGAGCTGATACAAGCAGCAGAGCTTTGTGAAGCTCTTTTTTGGAAGTACCAATTACCAGCAGTTTCCTCTGATATCACTTGTATATCTGGCTCTTTACCACCTCTGTGAATTGGTCCTGAAAAAAGGGAACAGCAGGCTAAGCTTTTTTTCTGCCATCATCCTGTTAAAGATAGGACATTCACTGTGGATAACTGGATTAACACCTGGCCAAATTCTTGTCTGAAAACTGCTCTAGCAGGGGACAGAAACAAACCCCCAAAATATTATGATAGGAAATGGACTGATGACAACAAACAGTGACCCACTTTCCAGACCACTTGTCCCTCATCCAGCAGGAAGACACCAACAGTGTCACTGCCCAGTGTAGATGGAAGGGAAGGCAGCTTTCCCTCGTGCCTTCAGATCACAGAATTCGTACAACTAGGAGGAAAGTCTAATGGATGTGGCAGAAATTTAGGAAATAAAGAATTAGTCCTGACTTTACCACATACTCTCTGTGTGACTGGGTCCATTCCATTCAGTTTGCCATTTGCCTTGCTTTCCTCTGCGGCGATCCTGCAGTGCAGGGAGGTAATAGAAAAAAAATCCATCAGCAGCTGTGAGGCACTCGGCTGCTGTGGTCAGATAAGTACCACAGTGAAGGAAACTCCTCTAAGTATCTATTAAGGACAGCACTTCACAGGGCTCTTGCCCCTTCTATCCAAGGTGCACGAAGCATTCCATCAATGCTACTTGTACTCCTTCAATACCCCTGAGAAGCAACGCATTATAAATCCCATTTTACAGATGGGCGAACTGACTTTTCCCCAAGTCCCAGAGTGGTTCAGTGACAGAGCTGG